TAAATAAATAAAAAATAAAGTCTGCTCGCCTGCAGCCGGAGCAGCCACGGGGCTTCAGGGCCACAGAGCTGCTGCTGCTGTATCTTTCTCTTGGGCGAAGAAGGACCTCGGGGGCCCGTGCCTATCAGGGCTCCCCATAGAAGTGGGGCTGTGGCTAACCGTCTCTCAAGGGTCTGCCCAACATCCTCGCCTGCTGGCGTTAAGCACCCCACGAGCCACCATCTGGGCTTGAGGGGGGCGCACTAGGCCATGCTGTCAACTGCTCTGCCCGGGGGTTTCTGAGCAGGCTCCCCTGCGCAGAAGGGAGCAGCGGGATGGTGCTGGCCCAGTCGCAGGCGGGCTGGGTGGCTGCTTTGGCAGGTGGCATTTTCTGCCTTCCTGCCTCTGTTAGAATCGGCCAAGCGTTTCTGGTCCCCCGGATCCAAATATTTGAACTGCGGTTTTAGATTTAGATTTAGATTTTTGTTCGTTTGTTTGTCAAATTTATGTAGCTGCCCATCTCACAGACAGTGAGATGAGAATAAATAAATGCATTTTAATCTCAGTGAATTCCAACAGCTGAAGCTCATGCAAGAAGCCCGGTGCTGAAGCTGAATTCCGTGTCATGAAAACGGCAGCGCCCGGTAACTCAGCAGAGAGTTGGAAGTCCGCATGCCCGCCCACCTGCCCCACCATCTCCCTGCGCCAGCGGTCTTTTCGCCGGTGCAAGGAGGAGGGCGCCAGGCCCGATGCGTCAGAGCTGCAGCATCTCAGTCGGTGGCGCGGGCTGGCCTGTTGTCCTGCATGCAGATGGAACAAGCCCCGCTCCAGACTCTAGAAAAGCGAGGAGGCCGGTGTCGTGCTCTTCGAGCCTTGGGTGCCATGAAATCAACATCACACGAAATCCTGGCTCTCTTCGCAGAAATGTAAGGTGAATTTTCCCACATAGGTAATTGGGACACAAAGGTTAAGGGTGAAGGCAGGAACCCAAATCTGCTGGATAAAAATGAGGTGCCAACTATACCATTTGAAATAAAATAAAAGATAAGGCAGGCAGTTAATCTGTTCTAGGTCTGGACCAGCTGCTACACTGTGTAAAGGACAACTTAGTGTATGACTGTTTGAGTCTGTCACTATGTTTATGTGCCCCAAAGGATTAGCTTTTCTGCTTTTCCTTGATGGGAATAACAGCTGAGTTGGGGGGGGCACCCGCATTTAATTATAATGAAACAGTTGTTGATTATAGATCCAGAATTGGTCTTAAAGTTACTCTAGGAGAGTGGGTGTATTTGTTAATAGCTCATGTTTTGTGCTACATAATCATTTCAAACAAATACGGTCAGGTTTCTACCTCATAAGCTACTGGTTATGTTAAAAACAAACAAACATTAACTATGACCAAGTTTAAGTTCAGTGATTTCTGCATGCAAATCCTACACAAACAAACATGGTTTAGACATCCAACTTCTCTGAGAGCTGGTTTGACTGCTCTTTGATTTAGTCTGGGAAGTATTTCACCCATTAAACTGGCATCATCTTCTAAACTTTTAGGGTTGAGTGGCTAACTATCTCCAAATGTTTCAAATCCTCTTTTTGCCACAATCCTTCCAAATCCCCCCCCCACACACACACACACACACGAGTTTCCCCAAGTTCACCCCACAGCCAGCGTTGGCATCAGGAACCCTTGGTTCCCACCTTCCCCAACCTGCTGCCCTCCACAAGGTTTGGGCCTGCAGTTCCAGAATTCGCACCCAATGGGTTCAATCCCACCTTGATGAGCTTTTGGAGAACCCTGGACGGGCACAGGAAGGTTGCACACTTTCTTCCAGCTTTCTGAAGCTTTCCTTTTACTGGGTCATCTTACCTGACTAAGGATGCGTGGTGGAGCCTGCC